TGGGTCCGTGTGGCCTCAGTCCCACCCGCTCGCTGTGCATTTGGGGGTGCAAGGATGCAGCACTCACTCGTTGGCCAGAGGGAAAGAACCCTTCCGCTCTTGGGGAACGGGGAGGCACAGCCCTGGAGACAGATGATGCAGGGCTGGGGGTGAGGGGATTGCGGTGTGATGGGTTGGGGGCATGGCTCCAGCTGGGGGTGGCCCCTGGGGGTGTGTCCCCTGAGGGGTTTCCTGGCGGTGTGTTGGGGGGGGGTTCCTTGGGGTGTGTCCCTGGGGCGTGTCCCCTGGGGATTCCGTGGGAGTGGTGTACCCTGGGGGTGTACCCCATGGGGTAGGTGTGCCCTGGGGGTGTGCCCCCTAGGGGGTTCCCTAAGGGTGTGTCTCCTGGCGGTATCCCCTGAGGTGTGTCTCTTGGGGTGTGCCCTGTGGGGTTGGTTTGCCCTAAGGGTGTGTCCCCTAGGGTGTGCCCTGTGCAGTAGGTGTGCCCTGGGGGCGTGTCCCCTGGGGGTGCGCCCCATGGAGTAGGCGTGCCCTGGAGTCCAGGCTCTTGCTTTGCAGAACAAACACGCTTCCAGGCCCAGCCTTGGGAGGCGAATCTTCAACTACTGCCACCCCAGCGTCTCTCCAGCTGTCTCTGAGTGCATTGTAATTTTCACTTATTGAATTTTCTGAATGCATGGCCTTTGTGTTGGGGAAGGAATGGAATTCAGTGGAGAAATCAATGCTTTCCTCAACTAACAATTGGTAAAATTAATTATTCTGCCAATGGTCTGGGCCCAGCCTCTGGGTCTGGGGAAAGTTTGGGATGGTGATTCTGTGGGTCCCCACCCCTCGGGGTGATCCTCAGGAGTGCTCCTCATATGGGGCTCTCTCCGCAACTGCTCTGTCTGCTGTGCTCACCCTCCCCCTTCCCTCCCCGCCCCCCCTCCCCCAAGAGGAAAACCAGGGACCTGGCAGGTGACCTGGGACATCCAGGCGTGTGGCATGCGGAAGCAACGTTGCAGTCAACGGTTTGGACACAGGTCCGGGTGGGTGGGCAGGGGTGGGACCGGGGAGTCAGGGGATGGGGAGGTGCAACAGAGAACAATCAGCCAGGAAACAGCCCGGGGAAGAGCTTGGGATGTGGCCAAAGGCGCCATTCCACAAGGCGGGGCAGGAACGGCTCATTCTGGAAGATTCAGACCATTCGCTCGCCGAGAGATGCTAGATCTGGGCCTCGTCTGTTCGGATGAATGGGCGGGAACCCAGGCTGCGGCGTTCCTGCCTTTCCTCAAGGAGACGCGGGAAGCAGGGATACACATGGTTTTGTTTTTGAACCACACCTGGCGGTGCTCAGGGCTGTCTTCTGGCTCTGTGCTCATGGGCCACTCCCAGTGGTGCTCAGGGGACTCTTTGGGGTGCTGGGGGATCGAACCTGGGTCAGCCGTGTGCAAGGCAGGCACCCGCTTCACTATACTATTGCTCCGGACCCCAGTGACAACCCTTGAGCGCGCAGGGTGGGAGAGGTGGCACTTTTACTTGCATTCCTGACGTTTGGGATAAGGGGAAGGAGCCAGGGGGCTGGGGCACTGCCCCTCAGGGACTCTCGCTCAGCCCTTGGGTCTGGGACAGATGTGGGAACTGCCAACCCTCACCCTGAGCAGGGAGCCACTCTGAGGAGGCGCCCGCGAGAAGTCCCAGGGAAAGGCCACTCACAGGTCACAGAGTGCCCGGGGCTCCAAAGGGTTCAAGGCAGGAGAGGATTCGGAGGCCCAGGGGACTGGGTTGTGCTGCTGTCCGCCACTCCCAGACCCGTGCAGGGAGTGGTGGTGGGGTGGGGCGGGGAGAGCCTATTTCCGGGTAGTGGGGCTGGGAGAGCCACCGTGAGGGTGATCACACTGGCTCTGGGGGAATCAGAGCACCCCAAGAGTGCAGGAGGGAGAAACGGGGCATGTGATGAGGACGGGCTCCTGGGTGCTCCTGAAACTCTTCTGCCCAGCTGTTCTGTAACTGAGAAACGGCTCGAGCAATCTGCGGACTCTTTTAGTCTGCCTTGCTTGGAAACAAGCGTTTCCGCAGTGACGGGATCAGGAGCCCCAGGACGTTCCTGCAGCTGCAGGGAAACCCATCGCACAAGAGGGAGCCCGGCCGAGGCAGATTCCTAGAAGGAGAAATCCACTCAGGCAGGAGGGACCCCGGAGCACTGAGCTGGGAGCAGCCCCCTGAGCACAGAGCTCAGAGTGGTCCCACGCACCCCCTGGCAGGGCCCAAAAACCAAAATGGAAAGAAATGGAAAAGGGTCTGTCATTCAGGCCAGCTGGGGGCGAGAGGGACCGGCGGGGTGGGGGGTGGGGGGAGGCGTGGGGGGAGGGGCCGGTGTTGGGACGTTGTATGCCTGAAATCCAGTTATTAGTGAATCATGGCGAATACATTTTAAAGCTTTTGGTTTTGTTTTATTTTTAATATTCACTTTTTATTTGATTAAATCACCGCGAGGTAGAGCAATACAAGCATGAACAAAGCTGTCCATGATTGGAGTTTGCTGTTCCAATACCCATCCCTCCACCAGTGTAATTTCTCAGCACCAAGGCCCCCAGTGTCCCTCCCGCCCACCTCCAAACCACCCCACCTCAGCCTGCCTCTATGGCAGGTGCTCCCTGCCTCCCTCTCATTTTCGGCGTTACGGTTTGCAATACAGATGCTGAACGGTTATCATGTCAATCCCTTTACCTACTTTCAACACTCAGTTCTCATCCAGAGTGATCATTTCCACTAATGTTGAAATTTTAAAAATTTGGAATGCATTTGTTTAAAACGTATATTTGTTGAAGTTTAGAAAAAGGAGAGACGAAATGGCCCATACGAAAAGGGCCCAAGCTTACGAGTAATGGGGGAACATCTGAACCTTCAAAACGGGCTGGAGGGTGACTTTACGCCAGGCAAGGGGCGAGCGTTGGGAGATCTGAACTGGCCCGTGGGGACCCGATCCAAGGAGGACACCCCACTATCACCCGCGGCAGCCACCGTGGCCCGCGGTGCTGGTTAGAATTCCCAACACACCCGTTTTGTGAGTAGTTCTTGTCATTCTGGAGAAAGATGTGCTGGCCTGCACAACGGCATCCCAGGCAGCAAAAATTTAAAAAAAAAAAAAAGAAAAGAAAAAAGAAGAAGAGCTGAAATAACTGGAATGCCATCAGTGGATTGGGGGGAAATGCAGTGCATCATTTTCGAGGAACGCTGTGTCAGGCCCAAAGAAGGTGTAACCGTCATGTACTTCTTGGCAACTTCACCAAGAATTGTGTCAGTGGAAGAAAAATCACGGCCCGTCCGGCTCCGCCTTCCAGTGCGCTGAGCTGAGACGGGGAGGCAGGGGGGTGGGGGAGGGGGCACGGCGGGGGTGGGGGAGATGGAGGGTATGAGCCCCCAGACCCACATGGGTGTGGCATGGCCTGCTGGGTTGGCCCGGGAAGGCTGGGCTCAGCCCACAGGGTCTTTTCTCCCCCCACCTTGGGGGTCCCCCTCCACGTGCTCTCCAGCAATAGCGCTTCTCTGAGGCCGGAGCAGGACCACTGTCCCTGAGGGGCCAGGGCCTGACAGCCACCTCCGTGACACTGCCTTTGGGACCTGAGGGCACGTGGCTGGACAGTCTCCGTGTCCACCGCTGGGTCCCCCTGGCCATCGCCCCCTGCTCATCGTTGGCCCGGTGACCTCACCGCAGCAGACTGGCCGTGGAGACAGACGCGTGACATGGCCACATGGCAAGCCGAGACTCCCTCTGTGCTTGTCTTAGCAGCATTCCCGTCCCCCGGGCTGTCGCCCTCCCGTCCCCACTGTCCCCTTCTGAGCCAGGTCCTGAGGCTCAGGGCTCCCTCCTCACGGCTTCTGCCCTCTCTGGTTTCTGCCCGGCACTCCCAGTTTCTGTCTTTTCTCTTTCTCCCTGAGAATCGGGGGCGCAGTGGCCTGGCCATGTGGGAAAGGACACTGCGCTCTGTCCCGTAGCAGAAGGGCCCTACCCTGGGCTGGCACAGCTGGGCCCTCTCGTCCCTGGGGACCTCGGGCAACTCGCTGCCTCTCCCTGTCACCTGAGCACCAGCCGCGCCATGGGGTAGACACTGAGGCTGTGAGGTGCCCTGAGCCCAGAGGAGGGGTGCAGGAGTCCATAGGAGGGTATCCCAGGGGAGGGGTGCGGCATCTCAGAGGAGGAGTGAGTTATCTTAGGGGAGGGTTGTGGTATCCCAGAGGAGAGGTGAGGTAGCCCAGGGGAGGGGTGAGGTAGCCCAGGGGAGGGGCAGTAGCCTGGGGAAAGGTACAGTAGCCCAGGGGAGGAGTGTGGTAGCCTGGGGAGGGGTGAGGTAGCCGAGGGGAAGGGCAGTAGCCTGGGAGGGGTGCAGCAGCTTGAGTAGCGGCGCATGGCCCTGGCCCTCAGGATGTGAGTGAGCCCAGAGAGTCACTCCCCACCCCCAGAGCCCTGGGGCCCATCCCCAGCACTCTGAATGAGCACTGCGAGGTGTGGCCCCCAAACCAATAAATAAATAAAGTGGCTTAGGGGTGGGGGTGGGTTGGGGCCAAATCTCCACTGAGCGATTCTCCCCCTCAGATCTGCGTGAGGACCTGAGGATGCAGGGGCTTATCCAGGCCCCCAGCTGTGCTCAGGCACCCCTGAGTCACACCTGGGGGTGCTGGGGGATCCCTCGGTAGCTAGAACCGCCACAATCCCTGCCCTGTCTCTCTGGCCTCTCTAAATAAAGCTTTATTGGCACTTGCTCCTCTGTTCACTGTCTAGGACTGTGTTCGTGCCTGGGGAGTCAAGGTGCTGCCACCTGGCCCGCAGACCCTGCACCCTGGGTCCCGGCTGGGTCCCAGTCCGCCTGCCCTGCGGGGTTCATGCAGGGCCGCCCTCTGACTCCCTGCAGGCTCCCTGCTCCCCGATGACACCCTCCCCCCACGTCCCTCAAGCACCGAGAGGTGGCCCTGCGGGGGGAGGGGGGTCCTGCCTGCTGACCCTCACTCTGCTCCCGCAGGCCTCCTGGGGATGGTGGCCCACATGATGTACACGCAGGTGTTCCAGGTCACCGTCAGCCTCGGGCCCGAGGACTGGAGACCCCACTCCTGGGACTACGGGTGGTCCTTCTGGTAAGTGACCCGCAGGGCCATGGACGTGCGGCCACTGTGTGTATGTGTTGGGGGGTGGGGCTCAGTCCTGGTAGGGGGCAGAGAAGGCGGGGTAGCCCTGTGGGACTGGGGAACTCAGTAAACTCTGACCCCAGGCCCTGCCGACGTGGTTTCTGGTGGCCCTGAGCCCCACGCAGCTGTTCTGCTTTGAAACGAGAATCACTGTGAGATGATTTGGGGCGGGGGAGGGGCAGAATGGGGGGGTTGGGCGGCAGCCGTGCTGCGGGTAAGCTGCTGGGGAACTGGGTACCCCTGGGAGAGGATACCCCAAGGGAGGGGTTGTTCCGGGGAGCAGGGCCAGTCCCTCAGAGCACGGTGGGGAAGAAAGGCGGACGAGTCCGGGATTCATGGGCTCCGAGGGAGGGGGCGGCACCATCCTGCAAACCAGGCTGCATGCTGGCCCAGGGAACGCTGAGGGCTCGGGGAAGAAGCCACAGCGCCTGGCAGAGGTCATCACAGAGAAGTCCCCCCACGTCCGTGCGAGCCCTCCCTGCGCACGCCAGCCCCTGCATGCAGAGAGAAAGCCATGATGGACTTCAGGATGGGTTTGATCCAGCTGCCGAAAGCATCAGGCTCCCTGGTGGTCTCTGGAGCAGCCCCTCCACCGTGAAGTCCTGGGTGGGGTTCCCTCTTGGCGCAGAACACCCCTCTGGACATCAGGGTGGCTCTAGCCCCAGGGTCCCAGTGTAGGCCTGTCCCCTCCGGTGCCCTTACCGCCGCAGGGGCAACGTCAGAGCCTTCCGGACTCAGCCTGGCCTGGCCCGTCTCCATGCCCTGAACTGGAGCCCACAACTCCTCAAGGGAGGGCAGGTGGACGTGTGGGTGAGTGGCCACACGTGGGCTCTGGCTGCAGCTCTGACTGCCAGGAGTGCTGGGCAGCTGGGTGCTCAGTACTGGGCACAGTACCTGTGCAGACGAAGACGTGGGGGGTCAGGTACCTGGGCCAGGGTCCCCCACCCGAGTGTGGTGGGGCCCTGAGTCCCAGGGTGGAGCCAGCTGAGCCAGGGTGGGCTCGGACTCCCCTTCCCCTGATGCTGGGCCCCTCCCTGCAGGGCCCGGTTCCGCCAGACTATTTACGGGCAGTCCTGGGCACTGCGGCCCCCATTAGGGCTGATCCATTTCTCCTTGTCACGGAGCCCGCGAGACGGATCAGGCCCATTTTTCATCCCGCGCGTTTGGGGCCTCGCCAGGGCTGTGTGCTGTCATCTCTCTTGTTCCATACGTGTGAGGCCATTTGTCACATTTCTGGTCCCCGAGCCCTTGCAGGCCGGGCCCTGTCTGGGCCGGGAGCGGGCTGCAGGTGGCTGGCAGGGTCTCTGTGTCCTGGCGAGGGTGGGCAGCGGGCCTGGGAGCGTGGGGGTCCTCTTACCCTGGACCGGCGCATTCATGCCTTGTCCCTGCCCTTCTTGGGGACTCGGTATGCTCAGCTGTCAAATGGGCTGTGGAGTTTCTGCCTCCTGGAAACGAGCTTCCGTTCTCCCTGGACACACATCCCAGCACCCTAGGGTGGTGGCTTCAGATACGAACTAGGCTGACCTCGAGCGGGCTGGTGGGTCGGTGTCTGGGCTGCGAGGTTCGGGCGGGCAGTGGGGCGGGGATGTTCTTGATGTTCCAGCTCATCACATACTGGTGTCCCAGAGGCCCAGAAGACCCTGTGGTGTCCCAGGGGACCCCAGCGGGCCACCTATCATCCCCAAATGAGGGACAAAGGGGGCTGGGCAGAGTATGGGGCGGGGGGGGGGGAGGCTGGCGGAGACACCCCCAGACTCCCGCCCTGGGCCAGGAGGGGAGACCACCCACGCATGTGTGCGTGGCGGGGGAGGGCCCCAGGTGCTGTGCACAGATGCCAAGGTTGGGGCGCAGGGCACAGGGACATGCGTCCCCAGGGGGATCCTGGCACCCAGGACTCCTCGCCGCCCACGCTGAGCTGTGACCCCGCCCTGCCTGCCCCTGTGTGGCCTCTGTGGCTCTGCTGTCCCCAAGTCCACGTGGGGCCTGCCAAGGTCAGCCCCCGGGCAGGGTGGGGTCCTTGGGGCGCAGGCACCGGTGGGGCAGAGTGGGCAGCTCCCCCTGGACAGTACCGACTCGGCTGCCGGCCCCACGGCGGGCCCCAACACCTGCTTGGGGACAGCCCACACCGGATCGTGGCGCCCCCTTTCGGCGGTGCTTGGCACTGCAGCTCGCCCCAGTTCCACCCCACCCCCACCCCCGCGGCCCCCGCTGGTGCCTGCTGGTCCCCACTCGCCATCATCTGCCCCCCCCCAGGAGTCCGGGTTGGACACCCCAGTGGCCATGCCCACTGCAAACCGCTCTGGCACAGCCCCTGTCTCCTCCTGTCTCAGACGCGCTCAGAATGGAGAGGGATGGGCACAGGCGTGGGTCCGGCACACAGGCAGGCGCCCAGCTGAGCTTTAGTCCTCTAAGGGTTTCACCCAGAGAGGTCTGCAGCTTCATCCAGGCCACACAGCAAGAGAGAAGCCCGCGGGCTGGGCCTGGGTGGGGAGCGCCTCGCCACTGGGTTCGGGGGTCCACGTGCTCCCCTCCGCCCCTCCCCCTTTCCAGACTTCTTAAGGGCGGATACAGCAGACCCTTCTCACCCAGGGGACGCCAGAGTGCCTGGCATTGTGGGACCCTGGCAGAGCCGGTATTTGGAAGTGTCCTGGCATGGCTGGCATAGTAGCAAACCCCAAGACTGGCATGCAGCACTGGTCTCAGCAGGAAGGTGTCTCCTGGCAGCACAGGGAGGCTGTGGTGCCCAGTGGGCAGTCTGTGTCCCGCTCTGCCCTCCTGAGGCCATGCTTGTACCTCCTGGGCTCTGCCCCAGAGGGGCCACCGGGTCTTTTGTACTCAGCCCTGGGGCGCACAGACCTTGAGGTGGCAGCCCTGTGCCTCTAAGCAGCTGCCCTCTCGCAGTTCTGGATGGCAGCAGTGACGGCTACTCCACACCCCAGCATCCTCCCTCCCTGCCCGCACTGTCCACTCTGGGCTTTGGCTCCCCAGACCAGGCCAGCCGCCCACGTCCCTCCCCACACTGGCTCAGCAGTGTGGGCTCTGGCGCCTAACTTTTCTGGTTCCCGTCTCCGGGCAGGGGTGGCGGGGGCAGGGATTGTAGCAGTGAGGGGCACAGGGAAGGGGGGAAACCCTCAGAGGCAGCCAGGGCCCCCCACCACACTACAACCCCAGCAGCACTTCATGGTTAGTTCGTTTGTCTTCATTGTGTTGGCGTTTCTTGGCGCTGCCAATGTTTAATGAGCACCTACTAAGTGCCAGCCCAGCGCGGGTGCCAGGGACACAGCAGTGAATAAAACAAAGCTTCTGTTTGGTGACACTAGCATTCTGGTGTGTGGGACGCAGTCCAGACCCTCCGAAACAAATGACAAGGACCTCGCTGCTGCAGAGACTGAGAGACACATATCTGCTGTGCCTCGTGCCCAGGATGGCACCAGCCCCCAGCTGTGACAAATAAAGCAGAGGGGGGAGGGCTGAGACCAGCAGCAGCGCCACCTCGGCGAGCACCGGTGTCCCAACTCTCCCAGACGTGCACTAAAGAAGGCAGGAAGTGGGGCCGGAGCGACAGCACAGCGGGAGGCTGACTGCCTTGCACTTGGCTGGCTGAGTTTGATTCCTGGCACCGACACGGGACCCCGAGCCCCCCAGGATGAGCCCTGAGTACAGAGCCAGGAGTCAGTCCTGAGTATTGCTGGGCATGGTCCCCCAACGCCTCCAAAAAAGAAACTCAGAGATGCCAAAAGGCTTGAACCAAAACAAACCAAGTCTGCTACAAGTCTGCTTTCTGCCTTGACCCTGGGTTCAAAACGGGGGACCCAGGGGGGTGGGAGGGGCAGGAGGCCCAGGTGTGTCATGAGGGCAGTAGTGGAGGGTCTGGGGCACTCTGGTGCTGGGGATAGGGGTGGTTACTCTGGACATCCCTGCCATAAACACCAGCAGTATTGCAAGTGTGTTACCTAAGCAACAATAAAAATAGCATTTAAAAAAACGATGTTAGGGGCTGGAGCGACAGCACAGTGGGTAGGGTGTTTGCCTTGCATGCAGCCGACCCAGGTTCGATTCCCAGCATCCCATATGGTCCCCTGAGCACCGCCAGGAGTAACTCCTGAGTGCAGAGCCAGGAGTAACCCCTGTGCATCGCCAGGTGCGACCCAAAAAGCAAAAAATAAATAAATAAATAAAACTAAAACTCAGGGTTGGAGTGATAGTACAGCCAGTAGGGCATTTGCCTTACATGCGATTGACCTGGGTCTCATTCCCAGCATCCCATATGGTCCCCTGAGCACTGCCAGGAGTAACTCCTGAGTGCAGAGCCAGGAGTAACCCCTGTGCATCGCCGGGTGTGACCCAAAAAGCAAAGAAAAAAAAAACACCGATGTTAAAAAAATTAATGAAACTTTGCTCTCTGTGGCCAGAAGCACCAGGAAGGCAGGGGCTGTTACCAAGGCAGAACAGGTTCCATCACCCTGACATTAAAATACCTTGCCTGGGGTTGGAGTGATAGTACAGGGGGTAGGGTGCTTGCCTTGGACGCGGCAGACCCAGGTTCCATCCCCGGCACTGCATTTGATCCCCTGAGCACCGCCAGGAGTGCTCCCTGAGCACAGGCCAGGAGTGGGCCCTGAGCACCACTGGGTGGGGCTCCCCCAAACAAGCAAACAAACAAAACTGGATTTCACCCTTTCCAGGAGGTGGGTGGCACCTGGATTTTACCCCCAGATTGGAGTGAGTCCCTCCCCGCGCCTCCCGTTCCCTATGGTGCCTGAGGAGGGGCTGGGAACCTAACCGCCCCCTCACAGTGACGAGCTCCAGAGCCCCGAATTCCAGGGGGTCACACCCCCTCTCTGCTGCAGGTCCCAGAGGAAAAGTCAAGAATCGAAATTTCCAGCACTGCCTGGTGGCCATAGGGCATCTCTGCCCATGGTGGTGGTGGGGGCAGCTTGGGAGACAGT